TATTACGCGTGTTGCTTTCTGTATAAAGTGTACCTTAATATTGACATTACACGTTTGTTTTTTTGTTTTTTTGATAAGGTACACATGTTTTATGGAAAAAGTTTGTTCTTATCACGCTCTTATCAAGTTTGATTGGCACGCGGGATAAGAAATAAATGTTCAAGCTGCTCAATGCAGCTCTTTAGGGGCGAAGCTCATTAGGGTGCGGCTCTGTCCTTCCTCCTTTGTTGTACGTAGCCACCGATGGCACATACCCGCTTTAGAGCGGGTATGTGCCACAGGATATGCGAGATGGTAAATGGCGATACTTGGAGTGTTCACTTATTGGACGCACGGACGGACGGATGGACAGACAGACTAGCAGACAAACGGACAGATGGACGGACGCACGGACGTGCGGACGGATGGACGCACGGACAGACGGATGGACACACGTATGACGCACGGATGGACGCACCGATGGTGGCGTGGACGGACAGAAGTACGGACGGGCTGACGGACGCTTCGCCCCACTCATCATCATTCACTCCGTGGATATGCTGTGATTTTTTTTGCCTGGCCATCCTGGAAACCTTGTTGCGAATAAACTCAATTCAATTCAATAAACTTCTTCAATACAACAAGCGCACTTTTTTCTGAAAGGCAGCCGCTATAGCCATGGAACAAGTACTTTTTTAGTGTAAGTATTTGTGTTTTATGTGTTTTATGTGTGTGTCAAGCAGTTAGAACAACTGACTTAGTTCGTTAAAAAGCGGCAGGAAAGAGAAGATGGAAGCTTGCGATGAAAGAAATCATATACACTGCAGGGGTTGTGTCTAGCCGAAGCGGATTTGTTTTCCTCAAGGCTGGAGCAGGGGAGTTCTGTTCTATAGCCTCGATTAGGACGATTGCACTTGTCGAAACTTCGGCTCGAGCATCCTGTTTACGGATTTTTGTGGTGACCTTGTACGTCTGAGCCTATTTTACCTACCCGAACTCGTGCTAGTATTTGTGACTTAAGAGGACTGAACGCTGGGCGATTTGGTAATAAGTAACTGCAAAAACTCCACGGAAAAAAGACAAGAGCACAAAAGGCACTCGCACAAGTGCAGTCCGTTTACGGCCTTGAATCAACCTTTTCAAACCTGGTGTCAATGCTCGTTAACACCAATATCTTACGCGATTGGCGCTCTTCTTGGCGCCGATTGATGTAGTACCTTCGAATACGAATTATCAGTCATGAGTAAAGTCATTTTTCTTGGACGAGAAGACAACATAAGATTTGCTTCTATTTATTAAGAAATTCTCCGGAAGTGTTCACGAGGAGGAGATCAAGGCAGACCGCCTACTTAATTCGCGCCTCTGATCAAGGAATATTGAAATGGTGTATGAAGGGTATACTGCTTTGGAATATATGTGAGAGTAGTCATGTAGTGAGGTAAGACTGATAGTAATTCTGAAGAGTATATAGATAGGGCCATAAGTCGGCGAAATAAAGGGGAACTCGCTCGAACTCATTCAAAGAAGATATCTTGCGCTTTGGCGGACTCACAGGACTCGCACTCACCGAAATATTTGTGGGACAAAGTGACCCGGACTCAGACTCACGAAAATTCTCTTCAACCGGACTCAATCGGACTCAGACTCACGGGTTGATGTGAGTATGAATGATTCGACTTGTGAGTTCGCCAACCTATATGTTCACGGGTGTTTGCACATCTCGTGTTTTACTGTACCCTATATCATTTATCTAGCAATTGTTGTATATGTCATTGACCGACCGAGAAGGAATGGCCGGTGTCGCCATAAAGTTAGCAACTTCTCCTACCCATCATTTCAATTTTAAAAATAGCGAAATTACTGCACACGACTCTTTTAGCTCTTGCTGTGATTGTACTCAATACCCCTTTTTGTTCCACGCGCGAAGCTACCATTTTTAATGAGCACCATTACGTGCGTTCGGTGGCGCTTTCTTCCGGGTGATAAACTCTGCAGCTGCGTCCCGTTGCTTTGGGTTCTTCTGTTCTTTTCCTTCCGAGCTGCCGTCGTGTAGATACGCGATCCAAGGTCGCACTTTTTCGCAAGCCACTGTTAAGTACCGGAAGACGGGAACCGGAAGACACCCGGGAGTTCCTTCTCGGGCCGTGCGAATCAACATGGGCTTCGTGTGGGCGACTGACTTCTATGGCAAGTGACGGTGGTGTGGTATACGCGCTTAGTCTGGCAACACAGGTCGACAGTTGTTTTAACGGCGCTATCTCGTGCATGACAGCAGGGGTGCTTATTGCTTGAAAAGCTGATGATAATGCGTTACGTTGCCGGCGGGTCTATAGGCTTGCGAAATGCGCAGGCAACTACCCCGCCAGTTTCCCCCTTTTCTGGTTATATCGAACTAACGGATATGTTAAAGCGAAGCGCGAGAACCGAAATGCCGTGCGCAACGCGACGCGACCATCACAAGTCGGTTGCTTATGATATATTGCATATGCAGTGTTGTACTGGACTCCCGCATCACATTTGCCTATGATACTCTCACGTCCGGGTGTGATCGCAATAAACGTGACTTTCAAGGATCGTGGCAGGCCGAATTCTTACATATCACAACCAATGTTAGAACTTCTCGGTGTTGTAAATATCTCGTCATAGACAGATGTACAAAAAAAAGTATGTACAAACCAGTCTCTGCGACAAAAGCTATAGCTCTCTTTCTCTTCGAATATTGCCGTTAGTATTCTCGGAATGTTCATCACTAAATAGGTTGGGTGGCTTTTCTTTTAGCACGCTTCTCACTCACTCACTGTCCAATTTCGCAGTTCAGCTAATCCGGAAGCACTATGTGTATATGCTGTAACATAGAAAATGACAGTTGCCTATCAATATGGCAACCCTGTACACATATTGATTCGTGCAGTACAGCTGGTGCGAATGGTGCAACTTGATTTTATTATGTGGGCGGTGTTATATAAGAAACACCTCCAATAAATCCAACTTTGATCTAACTTAAAGAAAACTTACGATCGTGGTCCTCGACTACGGTCAGATGTGGCGAATTTAGACGGTGCGTGCGTGCGTGCGTGCGTGCGTGTGTGCGTGTGTGCGTGTGTGTGCGTGTGTGTGTGCGTGTGTGCGTGCGTGTGTGCGTGTGTGCGTGTGTGCGTGTGTGTGTGTGTGTGTGCGTGCGTGCGTGTGTGTGTGTGCGTGTGTGCGTGTGTGTGTGTGTGTGCGTGTGTGCGTGTGTGCGTGTGTGTGTGTGTGTGCGTGTGTGCGTGCGTGTGTGTGTGTGCATGCGTGTGTGTGTGTGTGTGTGTGTTTGTGTGTGTGTGTGTGTGTGTGTGTGTGTGTGTTTGTGTTTGTGTGCGCGCGTGCGTGCGTGCGTGCGTGTGTGTGTGTGTGTGGTGTGAGAGAGAAAGAGAGAGAGAGAGACAGTTCCTCCGTATATCTTACGAGTATCATTCCTCGGGGATCAGCAGTTGAAATCATGGTCACTCTAAAAAGCTTTTGGGGATAACTCCCCAGCTAACCCGAAAACGGCGCTTTGCTCTCACAGAGGACAAAATGCGTGCAAAACTTATGAAGGAGAAAAAAAATGCCAGCGCAAAGCAACACACGGAGGGACAGAGCGTTAGTCCCGTCCGTCCGTGTATTGCTTTGCGCTGGAATTTTTTTCCTACAAAAATTATGAACCAAATAGCCCCCCCCCCCCCAAAAAAAAAAAACGTTGTGTGCGAAAGTTGCACATGGCAAACTTTCGAAAAGAGAGAAAGAAAGCGCCTTTTTTTCGGAGTAATTGCAGAAATGTACGCTCCGTGTGCAGACGACTCATCGTTGCCTACATAACCACGTCTCCTTCCAAATTATGCCTTAGCGTGGTCTGGTGTCTATACACCAGACCACGCTAACCACGAGTGGTTAGTGTACGCGCATGCTGACTGAGTAGCTCCTTTTGGGGAAATAATAACCTGGCTGCGACATGTTAATTACTTCCCGAAAAGGAGCAACCTCGATGCCCCTCTTCCTCTTTTACTTCGTAGGGTTATGCTTTATCGATGTATGCCCGAAGTATCGTTCTGAGCTTGAAAGCCTCGGGAAATGCCAGACGTTTCCGACTTCTGTGTTTTGCCCGTACGATTGCTCCAACTCTGAGCGAGTGGAAGGTAGCGTTTTGTGAATCGTTTTTCCAGAATCCTGCAAGGTGGCCGAAGGTTTTCGCAATTACAAATTGATTGCTACTAGTTTTCAGCATAGATATGCGATTGGCTGGTTGACCTTGTGGCATTGCGCGGCAATCATTCGCAAAATATGCAATGCTCAAGGGGCTCGATTCAATACGCCCTCGCGCTGCCAATTGATGACACCCTGGTTAAATCAGTGGTACAGCGACCATTCCGAATTAGTGTCAGTCCCGGGTTTGATCCTGGGACCACGGACGATGGTATCGTCATCTAAAGAGTGGTTTCTGAGAAATACGCATGCATGTTCTTGTAGCATGGTGCTACAGGCGGGTGGTTGTCAATTTTCAGTTTTACCTCTTATAACCTAGACTATATATCGTGGCCACTCGGCAATACGATGTACTGTTGAGACACAAGATTGCCTGTGGTATATATATGTATATAGAACTGTTTGTACACTTGACGTATTCTGGCTGCATGAATGCGCCATGTGTTGCCCTCAAAGATTCATCACGGAATGCAAGAAATTACACCGCCAGAAATTGTACCAGTGTTTACGCGGGATTACGTGTCAGCAATCACAGGTCACAGAGTTACTGACACCTCTCATTTTATCCTACGACGGTGGATCAGTGTATCTTACACCGCTTACTACAGCAGCCATAAAACCCACCTCGTATGTTAACCAACCATTAAAGCTCGTTCTTTTTGTCCAGTGATGTTCGACTTCCGGCTGAGACGTTCACATGACTCTTGCCAGAACAGTGGGTTACAGCTATAGTGAACTAGAACCACAGTTACAGCGCTGTTTTGCCAGCGTGGCTCGGCTTGGCCGCGCGCGGCACTTACTTGACCGTCTCCGCAGGGCGATCCTTCGGCGGCTGGTCGATAGGAGACGCAGTAGCCCGACGAGCTATCGTAGCAAAACAGCTGGGCACACACACGGGAGTCCTTCTGCAAGTTGTCGCGCGAGAGACAAGAAGGCTTTATAGCTAAACGCTTGAAACGTGCGAAAGCTGAAGCGTAAGTTTTAAAACAAAGCAGGGCGCCAGTATGATTCTGAAAAAAGAAATCGAAAAAAAAAAAACATCTTCTGAACAAAAATTGACACGTGTTTTGCTCGACCAGTCATACCGACAGAAAATTCTGATTGAACAGTGTTAAGTAAGGACATAACATTTACACTCCCGTGTTTTTTTGTGTGTGTTTGTCTTTTGACTAGTATTCTAATCAGTCCACATTATACAAGTCCACACTAACAGCATAGAAGAAAGCATCAACTCTGAGTAATGAAACGCGTCCGCATAGCGTCGGTGCGCCGTGACGCCACTTCGTGTCGACTAGAGCAAAGTTATGAAAACGAATACGTCGTTTCTTTTACTTCTTTCGCGTTTGACCGTTTCGAAAAGTGAACGTAGCTTACATTCAAGCATCTGCTTGCGAATATACTACCATACTGAAGATATTCCATGCAGGATTCAAGCATTCTGCTATGCCACCATTTTGTTTGGACAACAATGCAGCCTCCGATGGTGTTTTCGCGATGCTGTCTATTTTGCCGGCTACGTGAGACTACGAGTGAGTCTTAAGGTTCCGACTGTCCGCATAGCTGTATTTTTGCGTTCCGCATGGGGTATTGAAACACAACTTCTATTCGTTTAGATTTGTTTATTTTTGTCTGTTAATTTCTTTAAAAGTTTTCTCAACACAATATGAATAAATGAAGTGGCCGAGATGCTGTTTGCCCCAGTATTTCTTCGGCAGGCCCTGTATATACGAGTAAAAGAATAAAATGTGATGCAACTTGTATGTTCGCGCAATGACAATCTTAGTGAAAAGATGCGAGCCGCCGAGCAGTACAATATAGTTCTTATAAGCTAACACCGATTGCTTATTCTTAATCCAACCTCGACTTGATGCATCTAAAACATCATGAGTGCCTGTTGTACAGTTTGCAGTTCGTTTCATGCACCAGCAGCGACGAAAATAGCAGTGCTGATGATGTCACAAAACATCGTTGCGCTATTCACGGCTGTGAAACATGAGCCTTGTTTATTTGCAGTTAGCGTTTACACTCACCCAGTGTCAGCGATAGTGTGTTCTATCGATATTGATGTACTTTGGCATTAAAAACTGTGGCAATCCAGTTATCACTAGTGGATTTGCCTGTTCTATACGAAGTTCGACTAGGGACTTGCCCTGAGAAAGAAAAAAAATGCAAAACACCCTTGTAGGAACGTTGGCTACATGACTAAGCTTGAGGCGTCTCCTGTTCGCACAACATCGATCCACTCCAGTGGCCGTCATATCGTGGCATCCTCGTCTTAAAAAAAAAGAGAGATAGTCCTCTTAACTGCACGAAAGTTTCAGAGCGCGCTTAACAAGTTGTGCTGGAAGAAAGAATTCGACGCCATCAACTGGAAAGCACGTCGCAAAAGGCTGTGCGAGGAGCATATAACAGCTGTAAATGGAACGCCCGTTTCTGTGCGCGTTCTTAATATTTTAATGTTGTTTCCCCGCATGCTATTTTCCTTTGCTCTCTCTCTCTCGTCTTTCCAACTCTTTTCCCCACCTGGGTCTAATATAAGTTAGAAGTGTGGCGGCTTGGGCTATTGTGTAGGACATAGGATAGTTACAGCGCGAGAACAGAACGACGTCACAGAGACAAGGACACGAAGGACACGAGCGCTAAACACGAGCGCTCGTGTACTTCGTGTCCTCCTTGTCTCTGAGTCGTCGTTCTGTTCTCGCGCTATAACTATCGTTTAATATAAGGTAAACTCCCGGATTCCTCTGCATCTCTTTCTTTGTCTAAAGAGAGAAAAACAGGGAGGCCAACGAGAGGAAGACTCAAATTTGGTATACCTTTACATGGGAAGAAAAAAAAATGTGTGTAAATTAAAAAGAAGAGTTTGTGACAGTAGGCAAAAATTAAAAAAAGTAGCGCGCGAAGAAAATGCACGTACGAAACAAGCGGTGGTTCCTCGGTCTCTTCGGCACTGGTCGTCGAGGCTGAGCATGGAACCAGGCAGCATGCGTGCCAGCAGCTGGTTCTCGTGCGGGTAGTTGTAGAGGCAGCTGGCCGTCTCGCCCAGCAGGAAGTGACGGAACTGCTGCACGCTGCACGATGACCAGCGGAAGCCTCGCTCTGTGTGCCGCAGGTCGCTCATGATGAAGCCGTCCTCCCAAGGACACCGCTGGGCACCGGGACCTGAGTAGTACTCATCGTCACCATCGCCATCGGGAAGCTTTATTCGCAAATAAATTGTGTGGAACACGGGGAATGCGCTTGTCGGCCATCTTTGTTACGCCACTTGTTATTTCGTGCTAATTTTTATGCTCACACTCGACGCCATGGCTACGACTGGCGCTGGCTACATCCCCTGGAATCAACGCACAGAAGTACCTATGGTAAAGTGCAGAGTGGAATCACCACCGTCATAGCTCAATCGGTACAGCATCGGAGACCCGATGACTGGAGGTGCGGTCCTATACCGATGGCACTTCAATTCATTTCGATTTACAGCAGAATTACTACACTGTACAGTTGAAAACTACAAATGATGCCCTTGTACCTTCCTCGGCTTCAGTGTCTGGCGGGAGTTCTATGAAAAGATATAACTTGACAAATGGGCGTGAACACCTAGACATACGAAAACAATTTAGCAGCACATGTGTGTTTGTCTATACGATGCAGAATACAGAATGTGTCTGCCTGCTCTGCAACACTGTTAGGGTGCTCCATTGTATAAATGACAAGTAATTTATAGTCGTACATGAATAAGTAAATGGACATTACCTCCGAGGTATCCAGGCGCCGGCGATCCGTCGTGGACGCACCCCAGCAGGTGTCCCACCTCGTGAGCAGCCACGATGATGCCCGAGAAACCACCGCTGTCTTCGATGATGGCCACGCTGTTGACCTTCTCCAGTCGCTTGTTTACCACGCAGGCACCGCCGACGTAGGCGAACCCTGCTGTGCCACGGTTGCAGCGGCCGCCTTCCAGATGACGACGGCACATGTCCAACTTGGTAACGACCACCGCCAGATCGTACGTGGGCAGTCGGTCTTCGCGGTACAGGTACTTCCCCATGTCGGTCAATGCTCCGGCCACGTCGATAGCGTCCTCGTTGGGCGCCCTAAGCCGATTTCGCTCCAGGTAGGGTGTCGCGTCGCGATCCTTGGCCACGATCATTCCCGCCAGGCTGATTTTGACCCGAGGACTGGAGAGCAACCGATACCGCAGGTCTACGCCATTCCAGAAGCTGACCAGGTAGCGCTTGATGTCCGTGTGGCTGCGGCCGTGCAGGAGGTACGTGTCATAGTCGACGATCAATAGAATCTCCGGCCACACGGTGTCCGGGTCTGATGCCCGCCGTCGGCGAGACTTGTGACCGAGCTTCTGGAGCGGGGGTGGTGCCGTCGTTGTCGTCCTGTTCCTCACGATCCTGTGCCTAAAGAAGGCGTCATCCAGGTGCGCATAGTCACTTAGTGGGTCGCCCTTGGCGTTCCCTTCTGTGCCAAAGGTTGAGGACGACTCGCTGCTACCGGGTCGTTTGAAGACCACGTGCCTGGGTGAGGCGTCGTCCTCATCCAGGAATCCCTCATCATCGGCGTTACCCCTGGCGTCGTAGTAGGTTTCGTCGGCGCTCGTGTTCAGTCGCGTCGGAAGAGGAGAGATGGCAAGGTCTTCTCCGAGCGTCCCTTCCTGGAAGAATAATCGTTTAGAAGGTCGAGAAGACACAACACCGTACCCAACCATTGGTTGTCCAACCATATAATACTCACAAGCGCACTAGCGAATGTTTGTTTGTTTGACACTGTTTCACTTTAGTAATCGGAAGAATTTTGCAACTGCATCCTTTTAACCAATAATGAAGATATCGTAGACTCAAACTTTTGGGTGGAATACTACGTGTTGTGAAACGGTCATATAAATGCTGGCAAGAAAAGCCGCCTGGATTTACTGATTATCAGCGCTGCTTTTCATCGCAAGCACTGCTGTGTTGCCCATTTCTTGGGCCGTATGAAGTAACAGAGCGTGCCTCATGTTGATCTTTAATCGGTTTATTATTTGGAGCCAGAGTATATTGCTCGAATAAATTAGTCATATGTTCAACCTTGAAGTCACTTGTTTGCTGTATGCATATCATTGGTTAGTTGTGTTATTATAGAGACTTACTGAAGTGAAAATTTAGCATTGCCAATTTTCCCTTGCTTTTACACTGAAACTTTATGTTTGTTAGTTTCGTGTATTTTTGTTGGCGTATTGGTGGCACCATGACGTAGTGATAAAGCTCTTTGTGTGTATGTGTGTGGAGGCGGTGTGGAGACGATAACGTTTCGTGAAATAAACGTTTATTCCTCCACCTCCTGTGGTTCACGTCTTTAGGTATGGCGCTGTAAATAGTACATTCCAGAAGGCAGCAACAGACAGTGCGCAAGGGAAACTTTAAACATCTGGTACAAAATCGTTTGTAGCACAGAAGCAAGCGCCAAGTGCAGAACTCTGAGATACTGATGAGAAATGTATTGGAAGAAAAGGGTTGGTGTGTACCGGCGTTATATATTTATGTGGTGTGTTCGTAAAATCACGGTACACATTTAGCACTCACAGGAAGGAAGCTAAAGAATTTGATTGATATGTGGGGTTTAACGTCCCAAAACCACTATATGATTATGAGAGACGCCGTAGTGGAGGGCTCCGGAAATTTAGACCACCTGGGGTTCTTTAACGTGCACCCAAATCTGAGCTCACGGAAGGAAGCTAAAGAAGACAGAAACGTGAAATTGTCACCGAATAAAAAGTAAACTCTACAACTGTTCGTCGTGTGGTGTGCAAGCTAGAGCACCAGCCACACCGGTGCTGGCGCAGCACCACAGGGTGTTCTGTTGCTTGCTAAATTCGAATCCGTGACAGAAGTTGAAGGTTAGTGTCATCGCGTGCACACCGAGTCGCCATTACCTAATGACATTAAATGGGCACTGACACGGTCACTCATCATCATCATCATCATCAGCCTGACTACGTCCACTGCAGGACAAAGGCCTCTCCCATGTTCCGCCAGTTAACCCGGTCCTGTGCTTGACACGGTCACTCAACAATTTGCAGTTCTGTAGTTTTCCGCGGAAACTGGAAGCAGAGGTTCTAATATGCTTATAGAAATGTGAAAATCGGGCCTTAAAATATTACTTCAACGTCAAACAGGCTTGCTGTAAACCTCGCCGGGGACCGACATTTTGTCATGCTGCGTGAGACCACATGTGCTGGAAAGAGCGGAATCGACGTCATCTACCGACGTTTCAGTCCCTGCACATCGTTCGATTTCATTGCCAAGATGAAGAAGGCTTAATTATTTCGGTTCCCTCGAGCAGCTGGCTACGGGACAATATCGTTCAGTGCCGGAATGCTGACGCTCGCACAGCTAGCTCGTCACGTCACAGCTCGCGAGTGGGCCTGTGTTGTCCGACTCTCAGGCCGCTCGTGTGCTTACGTAAAGGAAAAGAATCAGTTTTCTAGAAATGAAGTGCTCGATTGAATGCGGTAAAATTTTCGCCAGCGTATTTGTGAACGTAGAAGTATTAACGCAAACAACACAGCTTGTGGTTGAAAGTTGGGTGTCGTGGACTTATTAATAATTTAAAACAAAAAGTTGTCGATGTTATTTGCTATGTTACACCAGGCGGCCTTAACCCGGGGTGCAATAATATTATTATATAGAGTTTAACGTAGCAAAACCACCATATGATTATGATAGACGCCGCAATGGAGCGCTCCGTAAATTTAGACCACCTGGGATTCTTTAACGTCTCGGAAAACAATGCTGTGATTACATGTTGTTTGATTAGCTGGTCCTGTCCGTGAACGCGTTCACGGCGTAATTTTTTTCGCAGGGCCTCATGAAATGTGAGGCACACGGGACGGCCTTTTGCTCTCCCGTAGTAGAGTACCAAGTGCTCTAAATCGATACCTTTTTGTAAACATGCACCCAAATCTGAACACACGGGCCTACAGCATTTCCGCCTCCACTGAAAATGCAGCCGCCACAGCCGGGATTTGATTCCGCGCCCTTTAGCTCAGCATCTGAGCGCCTTATAGCCACTAAACCACCGCGGCAGGGCAACTGAGGGTGTAAATGAGGTGTGTTTAGGGCAACAAATGAAGTCCAGAAGACTGTACTCAACGTGTATGAACTTGTAGGTTTTCCGCTTCATTCAGTGACTATTTCACATATCAATCTCATTTAGTTAACTTCCCGTGACCGCTCAAAATTGAACCTTCATTTTGCGGACAGAATTAATTTTGGTACGTTCAATCTCAATTGAAAGAAATAAGCTCGATCGAAAGACGGTGGCCGGAGCTGCAAAATAGCGACACCCGGCGCTGTTGACGAGCACGCCGATAGCGAGATTGCCAAGCACGTTCCATTCTCTAAAGCAGTCTTGCGGTTGGCCCATCCGAAAGCACATTATTCTAAAGGGCCTTTAAACGCCCTCTGAAATTGCGAGGAACGAACTCGTTATTCTCAGCCGTTCTCGCGGAACAATTCGTGACGCAAGCTGTTGGTTACGTGACGTCAGGATGAAAAAACTCTTGATTGATCGATACGCGAGAGAGATCTTTTCTGAATTGTCGCCTACCCTGTGTTGCATGCTGTCGCACGCCTTGACTCGCACGGCTATCTTGCGCGATAAACTTATTTTCGCGGTGTCCAATGCTCGCGCATGTCCGATTCGGCCTCACCTGATTGGCTGGAGCACGCTGCTTGTTTCCGGTCTTTCTTCCGCAAAGTCATTTTGACGCCACGCAGCTTTCACAGCTCTCGACACAAATGAGAAAGACGGAATGCGTTTCGCCACAACGACTGCTGCTTCCACGGATCCGCTTTTAGACACATATCTCTGAGGCCGTGCATGAACTATAATCATCTTGAATTTGGTTTAACGCGGCCGCCCCCGTGATGCCCCTGAAAGGCCGGTACGCATTGCCTGCATCGCTCTTCAAACACCTCAACACGTTCTACGTACGTACAGACTTGTCAAGTTTAAGAGTCACGTTACTCTTCATTCCGTTCACCAAGTTTCTTTTTACGCTGGGAATGTGCTGGCGGGTTCGGTGCGCCGACGTGGTCAAGTGCGCTATTACATCATGACTCACCATTTTCTTTTAGCGTAACTGAACGCGCTCCGTCAAATCGGACTCGTCCTAGGATTGGACACCGCGAGAATAGCTCCCCAGATTTCAGTTCGTCATCTGCGTTTGCGACTGCGCGAGCAGAGATAGCAGCGTGTGCTCGGAACGCACCAAATCCTGACTGACTCAAAGCTTAGTGCAGACGGCCCATGTTTTTTTGTGAAAAAAAAATAATAAGTGACGAAGAGAGCAGAACACTTGCAATAGGGATAATGAAGGCGAGAAAGAAACTACTGTATCGCCTTTGAAATCTTTGTGGTCTAGGGCCCTTTAAAGAAAACGCTTGTTCATCGCATATCGCCAGATGAGGCTATGCACGCGATATCAGTTTTTTTTTCCTTTTTTTTCTTTATTTCGCGGTAGTTACGCGCAAACAGCGCCTCCTATGGCGCAACCTTATCTTCACCGCAGTTGCCCAGAAAAAAGCTGCTTGTTGGAGTGCCTTCCGCCGGCCATCCCCGTTTCGGAAAATACAGCGTGCTTGGCACTCCCCTTATCGGCGCGCTCGGGAAGAACGCAGCGCCGCCGCAATATTACCGCTCCAGCAACCGGTCACTCGTGCCAATATTTTTCCACTGATAATGTTCGTCAGCTTCTCAAGTAAGTGCTTATTTTGTTTACGCTGCGCAGACGTAGAAAGAAACGTCGGAAGCTGTTGAAGCATTATTTCTTTTACTCCTAATGTACCACAAGAAAAGCGTGCCTATACTCACCGGTATACGTCGGCAAGACCGGCTACGCAGGCTTCTCATCGCAATCTTCTCACTTTTTAAATGTTTACTAAAAACGCTGACGGGAATTGGTGCACTAAATTGTGAGTTCTGGCGGAATAGTACACACCACCTAAATTCGCGTGAGCTCATCATGAAAGCTCGTCAGCAATGATTATTTATTCACTATCGAGATCGATGTCATAAATAGTGGTTTGTAACAATCTGATTCGCGCGTTAGAACTCGGTATTCGTGTTGCATGATCTCAGCCGAAAGAGAAAAAAAATATGGCGGATATGAGTGCAGGTTAGCCACAAAAGAAGCGCCAGAAGTGAATCCCGAACACTGGCACGAGAGGCATCAGGAACTGCATGCAAGGACCTGTAAGCGGCCAGAACAAGGTGACAAACTTGGTTGAGAGTATTATGTGCACACAAATATCATTCTCGGCGATTGCTTCTGTACGCCACCACGCGCAGAGCGCAGAAGCAAGGTTGAAAGGTGAGGCGGGTTGTTTTTTTCTGCAGGCTGGAGGAGTGTCACCACGGCCCCTGCGACAGCTGTCTGTCTCACCATTCGAAGGCGTCCCAGCTTGTCTTGGCTGAGCATGAGGGCGGCCATGTTGGTGTGGTCCTGGTAAGCGCCTGCTCTGGACCAGAGATCGTCGGGCACTTCCTCATCCTGCAGGACGCATGGAAGCACGTTATCATCGGATGCTCGTCGTAAGCGAGGTATCGTTCGCCGGAGCTTATGTCTGTGTTATTTTTATTTCGATTGCTGTTTTAATAAATGCGGCTGACAAGAAGCTTCACCACTACTATATGGTCAGTTGTGCCGCAAACGTTGACGGGAACAGCAAAAACTGCGGGAAATTAAACTGTAAAGCTCTCTCAATAGTTGCAAGGCGACCACTATATAGTAAATTGCGATAAAGAACCGAAGTAGAATGCTGAATCCCATAAGTTCTCTGATATTGGCGAATGGACGTCAACTACCGTTCACAAGGCATTTGTTAGCTTAGTTTTGGTAAGAAAATCTCGCTGAGCCTTCAGGGCTAATCTTTCTATAGAGGATCGGGGTTCAATACCTGTGCACTGGCGCTTAAGCGCCATTCAAGCTTAGCCGTCAGCTGAAATTCGTGACAGCCTCTCCCCTACACCCGCTCTTTTTTTCCGTTTTTTAAGTTGCGCATACGCTCAGTCTCCTCAATGTCACGTTTCTTCGCTGCTTCACTTTATTGTGACGTCATCATTGGGCACACGGGCCGGCTCCATAGCTCGGTGATGCTCGCCCTCCCTACAGCACGGCCCCGATTTCAGTTCAAGCGAACCTTACAGTTCGGTGGAGCAGCTTTCACCATCCAAGTCGCATAAATCCTACGCCCGGCAATGAACCATTAACTACACCCAGTCATAAACACGTGTACAGGATTGACAAGGGGCGATAGCACGGTGTATATAGCACGGTGTCTCGTTGTTGTCCGACTGGATTTGACAATCTGTCATTTCTACTGTCGCCATATTTCGATCATAACCACAATGTATTGTTCATTCGCGTTTTCCTTGCGTCGATTTTTCATTTGCAGTTCAATTTGGCAGCACAATAGTAACGACCGAAGATCGTATTTTTCTTCGCCGCTCGTATCAGGGCACGAAATCCCATTAAGAGGACGATTCGTTCCTACCGGTTCGCCTGCGGCGTCAACCCTGATCTTGTATGCTCGATTAATGTTTTTGCGGTCGCACTGTGATCCAGCCCGCCTAATGGCCCTTTCTACGGTAGCTTCGATAGATATGTGGGGTTTAACGTTTCAAAACCACCATATGGTTATGAGAGACGCCGTAGTCGAGGGCTCCGGAAATTTCGACCACCTGGGTATCTTTAACGTGCACCCAAATCTGAGCACACGGGCCTACAGCATTGTCGTCTCCAACGAAAATGCCGCCGCCGCAGCCGGGATTCGAGCCCGCGACCTGCGGGTCAGCAGCCGAGTACCTTAGCCACTAGACCACCGCGGCGCAGCTCCAACGGTAGCTCCAGGAAGTGAAACATTCACAGCTGCGGGCTTGTTTTTCGTCTTGAATTCGAATAAATACGTCAGGCTAGGTTGCCTTCTGGGATGTTTTGAAAGTTTGAAAGTTTGAAAGTTTGAAAGTTTATTGATTGGTTACAAATGGTGGTTACAATGGGGTTTACTACTGATACAGAGAGAGGTCCCAAAGTCAAGAGACTGTACAGGGGACCTCCCATAAGAGCTGAGTAAACAAAAGTACTTTAACGCAACAAAGATGTGTGCACAAAGTAAACACTCAAAAAGAAGCAATTAACACTGAAACATCGTTGGATTATTTAAAAATTACAAAAGAAAGCAGAGATGATGAAATGATGAAATGACTATGCTGAATGCAGATAATTCCGAAGGTTGATTTTGAATGCGTGGAAATTGGAGATATTTTTAACATGGCATGGTAATGAGTTCCATAGTTGTGTGGCTGAAAAGTTAGTAGTGAACTTACCATAATTAGTTCTGGGTTTCGGTAATAAGAAGCTATTGCTGGATGCGAAACGTGTTGACAAAGAGTAAGGATACTGGCTTTTGATGATTATAGGGAACGGGAGCTTTCCGCTGATGGATTTGTGGATTAGTATTGCGAGGGAATATTTATGTAGTTTTCCCACCGACAGAATACCGTTAGAGGTGAGCAAAGGCAATGCTTCTGATGTGTAGGTGCTATGTGTCATGATGCGAATAGCCTGATTTTGAGTGTGTTGCAATGGAGATAAATGGACTGGATACGTGTTTCCCCATGATGATATGCAATAATTAATATACGTATGAATGAAAGCGTAATAAAGGGATATTAGTGTGTTCATATGGAAAAAATTGCGAACTTTAATTAATATCCTAATGCCATAAGCTGTCTTCTTTGTTAACGATGAAACATGCTCATCAAATTTTAGGTGCTTATCTAATGTGACTCCGAGAAACATGACACTGTCAGTAGGAAAAAGTGTGTTTGAAGCGAAAGTTAAAGATGGTGAACCTGAATAAATCCTATGCTTAGAGGAAAAGATGACGAACTGAGATTTTGTAGCATTTATCTGTAGTTTATTTTGCCGGCACCAGGTAACTATGCTGTCCGCGTCGTGGTTAAGCTTGTAGATTAATGAATCAAGGTGGTTATCTGAGCAAAAAATAGTAGTGTCGTCAGCGTAAAGAATACAGTCAGATGATTTTAGGCATTGTGAAAGATCATTGATGTATATTAAAAATAAGAGAGGTCCTAATATTGATCCCTGCGGTACCCCAATGTTACTTGTTTTAGGGTGTGAGTAAGTGTTAGATATAGACACAATATATTCTCTATCTTTTAAGTAGTTACGTAGTAATTTCAGTGGCGGGCCTGCTATTCCAATAGACTCTAATTTAGCAAATAGTATATTGTGAACAAGTGAATCGAATGCTTTAGATAAATCAATAAAGAGCGCCCCAGTCAAATTACTTGCATCAATTGCCTGCCGGATTTTATCTGTCAAGTAAATTAATGCTAAATCAGGTGAGTATCCCTCCCTAAATCCAAATTGATTTGTTGATAAGACATGAAATTTTGAAAAATAGGAAGACAAGCGTGTTACTATTAGTTTTTCAACAACTTTGCTAAAGAATGAGAGTATAGCTATAGGTCGATAATTAGATGTGAGACGCTTATCTCCCTTCTTGAAAACAGGAATTATTTTGGCTTTCTTCAAGGAGCTTGGAAAAATTCCCGTGGTAAAAATAAGGTTTACTATGTGACAAAATGTTTCAGATATTAAACTTGCTATGAGTTTTATGAGAGAGGGGCGGAAATTATCAATACCGGGCCCGGTATTTTTTAGACTAGAAATGATAGTGACTATTTCTTCAGGTGTCACGGGGTGAAGGAAAAAGCTGTGAGGCATGCGTGGGTAAGGCTGGGTCAGAGGATCGTCTTCCCGTTGCTTGTCTGTACAGAAGAAGTTAATAAAAGAGTTAGCAATATCTAAGGGGTTATCGAGAAGTAGGTCTCCCGATTTTATCATTGTTATTTCGCTATGCTGGTTGGATCTACCCAAAAACGAGTTTAAAATTTCCCACTGTTTTTTTACATCATTACCGGCACACTTAATTTTATTTTCATAGTACTGTGTTTTGGCATGTTTGAGTAGTTTTCCTAAATGATTAGAATATTTTTTATACCTATCATGAAGCGCAGTATTGAACGGTTGTTTTTTTGTTTTTCTGTAAAGGTTATCTTTTTTCTTCAGGCAATCAAGCAGACTTCTAGATAGCCATGGGTTACGAGGAGCTGAGAACGGTTTTTTACAGTTCATTATTTCGGTAGAATCTGCAAGGGCATTGGAAATTATCTTTGAAAATGTATCGTAGGCAGTTTCAGGGTTATCGCATGCGATGACTGGGTTCCAGTCTGTAGCAGATATTAACTCAAAGAACTTTGTTGAATTGAACTTCTTTCTGGTTAGGCCTGTGACAATAGCGCAAGGAGTGTAATTTAAACGCACAAATATTGGATAGTGATCGGTAACAGAGGCTTCGACAACGCCGCAGTCGGGGTTAGTAAGGAGATTTGATAAAACGTGGTCAATAAGTGTACCTTGTTTATTTGCGGGACATCGAGTTGGAAGCGTAACTAGGTTTTCATACCCAAAGCCATTTAGGCAGTTAACGTATTCATTGAACAGTGTGTTGGATGGATCTAGGAGGTTAATATTGATATCGCCCATGATAATGACATTTTTCTGCTCCAGTGATAGTTTGTGCAACAAATTACCAAGGGCCGAGCAATAAGCACTTCCACATGATGACGGTGAACGATAGATGCAACCGACTATAAGGTTTTTTTTGTCCTGAGCAAAAGTTGGTTAGGTTAAAGAAAATTAAGGCAGCTTCGCACTAGGGTTGCCAAGCCTGAAGGAACTGCGGAGCGGGGCAGCTTTCTTTGTTTTTCTATTTTTTCCCTCGTCTCTGTCATTCTCTGTCACACTTGGTATCAGATTTTTTCTCTGCTTAACTTTATCTTTCCTTTCGTTTTTTTTATATTTCGAATTTTCTATTTTTCATATTTTATTCCCTTGTCTTTCCGTCTATTTCGCGCTTGCTTTTTTTTCTATTCCTGTGTTTTACCTGCGCTACGTTAAGCGCACTCGCTGTCTTTTTTTTTCTTCTGCTGATGATGATATGTGATCACCGTCAAGGCCCTCGGAGAACAAGAGGGAAATACTCCTTGGCGCGAGCGCGTGCTCCATATGTTACGCATGGAGCGTTACGCCAAGCGATGATGACAGCATACTACAGCGCACGGCAGCCTATGACAGCCCGGACCCGTGATGTGCGCCGCAGCTTTCCATTCTAAATGAAATATACTTTCTTAGTGCGCAAAACGTTTCGGAAAGAAGTCAGATGAAGTGCGCTCTGTCCTATCTGACTTCTTCTCTGGAACGTTCTGGGCACTAAGAAAGCACATTTCTTTTATAATGCAATTCCAACCAGCCGAAGTAGCCACTCTTTTGAAGCTTTCTTTCTGCCATTTGATTACGTTTAGCGCAGTGTGACGTACGCGGATCGCCTTACCTTTGACCTGAGCGGCGTGTAGGCGAGTCCGTTGGGCGTGCTCTCTGCGGCCAGCACCTGCAGCCTGGCGGCGCGCTGCTCGAAGTCCCGGTTCCGCTTGAGCCTCAGGTCGAAGTGGCGTCCGAAGGCGCGCAGGGACACCGCCTTGCGGTCTCCGCCCACCTCGCGCTCCGAGCGCTGGTGCCTCCGAGCGCGCAGTTGCACGAGCTCGTACTGGGGAACCTCTTCCCGCGACGCCACTCGGAACACGCGGCGGATCTCGGAGTCCGACAGCCGCTCGTGCACCTGTGCGTAAGAAGACGCATAGTCACTGGTCGGTGACATAGCTACGACGTTAAAAGAAAAAAAAACGTTGCGACAATTTTTATACCTGTATTTTGGGACGTAAAATCCCACATATTATAGTATATATAACATTGTATATCTGTAGGCAACAAATTGAAGGGTCCGATAAAACGCACTGTGAATTCTGCGAGTATATACTGAAGAAATTGCCATTTCGCTATAGTAAAAATTAATGAAATTGCAGTAACTAACAAACAAGATTGCTACAATGGTGCGACACGAAAATAAGTGATTACTAGGGAGTTTTCAGACCAGATCATGAGGCTACGATGGCTGAATTTTAGGCGAAAATGCAGCAGGCTCGGGTTCTCAGATTCGGGTGCACGTTAAAGAACGCCTGGTGTTCTAAATTTCCGGAGGCCTTCACTATATACGGCGTCTCTCCTAATAATATGGTGGTTTTGGGACGTTGAACCCCACACATCAATTAAATAAACCACAACGCAATTTCTGTTCATTCGTCTTCACTTTGTCATTCACATCTTTTTTTTCGCTGGTAGGAAAGACTGTTGTTGCTATTCAAGTGTATTTTCACCATGATGTAGCGTTTACATCGTCTGCGTAGATCAAGACAAGCGCTAAGATAAGCGCTAATTGGGTAATCGAAAATAACATCGTGCCTGTCGTAAAAGACATTCAGGCGGGAGAGAAGCCTACAAAGAGCAGTTACATTATCACGTGCCCTAGATCTTGTCGTAGTGTAATCGACGTCACGTGGAAACGGAAGAACAAAAGGCTTCAATGTTACGATCAGCACATCTCCTGTTGTTAGTCATGTGCGTAGGCGCAAGCGAGCTGTGTTTCCATTTGTACAGTGGGGCGCATCCTGAAAATTACATGTTCTCAAGACGCTTGTTACAAGTTGGTCGCGGAAAATGCTTTCGTGCAATCGCTTATTTTCGACGGCGGCTTTCGTTCTTTGTTTTTTTCTGCAGAAATGCGACAGACAAGGCTGCCTAATGCTGTTTCTAGTGTTAAAGGCAAAAAAAAAATGTTAACATCAGTGTACTTAGTCTGTACGGCATTCCGGTAACGCGAAGGCGTAGCGTGTACCGAATTGCGTTTGCCATATCTGCTGCCACGTCAACTGTCCCCAGATATAAGGGTTTAAAAACAATTAAGACGTAAACTATGTCCTCCGAGATTTTAGGATTTTAACCCCCGTATTCACAAACGCTCATTGACTCCGACTTTCACCCTTCACTTAACAGAGTTGAGCACTGCAACACCACTCGGCTGAAAATAACGCTACGCTACTCAAGAATCGCATCAGACTATCGCTGATATGCAGTGACTTACCGTGTCTATAGATGGCGCTCCCATCGGCTTTTTCAAGTGAAGGCGAAGCGTTGAGTGAAGGGAGGTTCTAGAATACGGGGGTAAGAAAACAAGCTAAGCCTACAACTTTGATTATTTGAGTACGAATTTTCAATATGGTGCCGAATCGACGCTTCAGGACGCCACTCTAAAGGTAGTGAAAGGGTCAGTCCGGAGCTCTACGGAGCACACAACTGCCACTTCGCATACAGACTCGAGATGGACGCCAATCGCTTACGGCGGTGGGGCCATGTTTACCGGGCGCGCGGGGGGGCGCTGCGAGCGCTCGATGGTGACGGACGCACTCCACATCGCCTCCGTAGATTTTATGCTATTTCTGCGGACATCCACCTTGGTACCCCTGAAACTTGAATTTATCGTCACCGCCAAGTTCTCCGCTTCGCCTAGACAACACCTTCGTCCAGGTGGGTCCAGTTTTGACAACTTGAGGGACGTCCTTCACTCCCGGCTACAACGCCGCCTCGCTAAGGGCTCTCAGCCCGGCGATGGCGGCCGCTAACGTGGTTACGGGCTATGATCCTACCTCAAGCCAAATGCTCTCTATGGAGATTTCATCCTCCGAAAACACCATGCCATCAGAAGATGAATACCTCGACGACATGGTGAGACTGTGGCAATGCAAGCAAGCGAAATCGAAGCCTGCGTCTCAACAACAACGAGACGCCACAGCTGGCCGCCATTCCCCAGCCTTGCAAGGAACGCCGGCGCTCCATCCCTCCGGTGGCGTGCCTACCTCTGCTCCGTCCTCGCAGCCAGTGAAGCAACGCAAGTGGCGTCCGCGTCAGACTCCTCGCCTCTCTCGCGACGACTACATCGTAGTAGTTAAACCTCGCGTTCCATGCGAGCTACGCACATTTGTCCGGCCGATCGCGCGGGCGACGCCATCCGCAGCTACCTCGGCGACCGGACTGCCACGCAAATTCAAGTGTGGCCAATCTGGGAACAGAACATCTTGGTCTGTAGCACCACCATTTTGCCTATGGCACAGCGACTCCTCGGGGACTTCCAGCTGCAAGTGGGGGATCAGCAGCTGCCCGTTCGAGGCCACGCCAAGGCACCAGGGGATACATGCAGGGGCGTCATCAACGTAAACCCTGCTGAAAGCCCGGAAAAGATAAAGTCTGAACTGTATTGGCCTCGAGGTACTATCCTTGCGGTCCGCAAACTCGGAGATTCCGCGGCGGCGGTGGTGACTTTCGAGGGCACGAAGTTACCCCGCTTCCTCTTCTACCACTGCGTGGCGACGTACATCCGCGCCTACAAGAAAACGGTCCCGGTTTGCACCAAGTGCGGTACCATCGGCCATCGACCACCTCAGTGTCCTCACCCCGCTCCAACGCAGTGTGCCAAATGTGGAACCCCCGCACCTGCAGGTCTCAATGCCCACGACTGCCACCCCAAGTGCCTCCTCTGGCGCTCATGAGACTGGGACCAGTGGCTGCACGGCAAAATATCGAAAATATCAGAAACGCAAGCAGCCCTCAACATCTGCTCGAGGGACCACCTCATGTTCGTCACAGCCAGACAGCGGCACCAACCTGCATCAGTCGGCTCCACCACTCCACGCCAACACTCAGGCATTCCCACCGCTCGAAGCACCAGCGGTGGTACCTCAGGTGAGCAGTTGGGCAGGGAAAGCTGCTTCTAAGCCTCTCTCACCCCCTTCTGTCGATCCTCCTTCTCCCGAACTTGCGGCCCTTCGCCAGCAAGTTGCGGCACTTCAAAAGCAAAATTCTCTTTTAACTAAACAACTCGAACTCTTAAATAAGCGACTTCAACCCCAACAACAGTGCACTGCAAGGCCATCCGGTATTGCCTCCTCTGTCCAGGCGGCTACGCCAGCTACGTCCAAGCTTAGTCCTAGCGCTAAGCCCACTCCCATTAAACCGCCGGTTCAAGCAACCATTTGTACTCCAGCACTCGGAACCGGTGCCACATCTACTCCAGAAGCTCTTGAGGCTCCTGGGGCACCTCAGGTTATCTTGCCCGCTAACCAAACTCTCCCTAGCGAAGAGCGCACCCCGCGCGTAGAGGAACGCCTCACGCGCGTCGAAGCTTCGATTAATCACCTCCTCACCAGCTTCTCGGTCCAACGCATAGTAGTAGAGGTTACCCAGGCTATTCAAGCCTGGGCAATCACCCAGTTTCAACCCAAGGCATCGCGTTCCCGCTCCTGCTCGGTGAGCAGTGAGGGTACAGCTCCACGGCGTCGTCGTAAGGTGGCTACCACCACCCCGCCGTCGGACAATCCGGCCTCCGTGCCCCTCCCTGCCTCTGAGGAATCCGAGCGGGACATGGAGGACCAAATATAAAACCTAGGACAGTCACGATGGCTACCAATCGTACGTCCCGTTCAAACATTGCGTCTAAATTCGAGATCATACAGTGGAACCCTGGAGGCTTCGGGAACAGGCGAAAGCGTTCACATCTTTCCCTTTTCCTCAGCTCACTTGGCTCTCAGCCGGCCGTCTTGGCGCTCCAAGAATCTGGCCCTGCTCCATCCCTTTCTGGATACTGCTCCTATGTAGGCGGCACCACCACATGCCTCCTCGTGCATAAAGCTTACACGGCGGTACAGATTGACCTCGATCTGGATCTTCCTTACGACTACTGCATGATATCAGTGCTGTCTCAGCGGAGGGGCCAACCATCAATACATATATTAAACGTGTACTGTCCCCCTCGCCTTGCAAGGGCTTCGTTTGCGCATCTCTTCCACCGGGCGCTGCGTATAGCGGCCCGACAACCACTGGTGATTGTCGGGGACTTTAATGCCCCCAGCCCTCACTGGGGTTACCACTACGAGAAGGCCCGGGGCAGAGAGCTCAAGGAGCTCATTTCCTCGCTGAGCCTGACGCTTCTTACCGATCCGGCACAACCCACACGTTCCGGCAACTCGGTCACGCGAGACACATGCCCCGACCTCTCCCTCACCCGTCACATCCGCGATGCTACATGGGAGAATTCAGGCGAAACCCTAGGCAGCGATCACTTTTTACTCCGCATTTCGTTCACACCGCGGCAGAAAATGCGCCAACACTGGGGCCAAGCCCGTCTCACCGATTGGACTCGGTTCAGAATGCAACCATTCCCCGCCGGCCTCTCCTCGACCGAATATGCAGCGTGGGCATCATATGCTCTTCATATAAAACAAGCGAACACTCGCACCCTTGCAACCTCTAATTTGACTCCTGCAATCGATCCACACCTCCTACATCTTTGGCACGCTCGCCGCGGGCTCATAAGGCGCTGGAAACGCAACAAACTTAATCGGAAACTTCGCGCTCGCATTGAGGCGCTCACTGCAGAGGCGGCCGCATACTCCGCACAACTTTCCGATGCTAACTGGGCAGACACCTGTTTGAAGGCTGCAAAGCAGATGAGCTCTAAGAGTGCGTGGCGACTCTTTAGAAGCCTTCTCGATCCCTCCACCACCAGGGGACAAACGCAACGCCAGCTCCACCGTGTTCTGCATGCCTTTCAGGGCACTACGGATGAACTCGCGCGAGAACTTTGTGACCGCTACATCTGCCGCACAATTGATCCCGCAGGCCCAGCATATACGTATTCCGGCGCCCCGAACACCGACCTCGACGCCCCAT